TTGTTTGGCAAATAGCTATTGGCGGTTGGCTGGTTCACTTGGCTCGTTTGACCAGTTGGAATGTTTTGGCTGTTTATAATGGTTTTTGAAATTGGCTATTTAAGCTAGTTGTTTATAAAAGTGTTTGGTAAATTTAGTCGGTGGCTGTTGGCTGTTTATTAGATAATTTATTGGCCAACAAGCCAAAAGCCAACAAAAAAAGCTACTCATAGCATTTTTTTCATTTTGGCTTAAAAGCCAGCTTTTTCGCTAAATAAAAAGTCAATTATCAAACACTTTTTTTGGCTGTTTAACTATATAAAAAAAACCAAAAGCCAAAAGCTAACCTAAAAGCCACTAAAAAACCATTTATCAAACATGGCCAAAGTTAAAATGGGAATAACATTTTGAGATGCAGCGAGTTTCATTTTAGACCTCGAAAGATTTGTAAAGGCAAAAGTGGGAATTGAGTACATCTAAAATTCTAGATGAATGTTCTTATAATTAAGTTCTACATATTGCTAAATGTTACTATACTATACCTACTGATATGTTATCCCCTTGTAGGAAATATGGGCAGTCAAGGTTACCGATAAAAGGAGTGGAATGGTGGAGAAATCACAAGTATAATTTTGAGATATTGGATATGTGATGTCGCGCGAGGAAAAATCGATGCCTTGAAAACGATGTTCAAGTTAGTTCAAGGTACAAAACGTTTTGGCCGACTCGCTCCCCAGTGTTAATAATACTCTCACACACTCGTATATTCAAGGGTAAAAGCATTAGAGTCACAAACTTTTTGCTCAATAATCAAGGAGAACACAACATTATGTAATATTTCTCTTACCAACCATGAAATGACTTTATATAGCATAGATTACTTATAATCGTAAAAATAAAAAAAAAAATGTTACAAGTCTAATAAACACAACTATCAATTGAGAATATCAATTGCATAGTTAATAAATTAGTAACCATCTATATTTTTATTTTTTTGGGGTGAATATTTTCTTCTATTGATTTTCTTGAGCTTGAAAAATATGTAATCATTGAAAAAGCTAAGCAATAATTAAAATTATAAAAGCTTTGCTAAAATTTTGGAAATTTTTCTAATGATAAAAAGTTTACATGGTTTGATTTGGTTTCAACGTTTTCAATCATAAGTTTTGTAAGTAAATAGTGTAAATGTACGGATTGAATATTGTCAAAGGACTAGTACAGCTAAAAATTTACACTTTTAATTAGAGCTCTAAACTATAATTTAGTGTACCAACTAAAATAAAACAAAGAAAATAGCTAATAACTAAACCACTTTACGTCTTCATATATACTCCGATCAATACATCTGTTCAAGAAGTTATTATGATCAAAATCCGTTCACCTATATTGCTTCAATTAAATGATACGGGTAGTGTTCATACTATATATAGAGACAAGAGACTAGAGAGTCTTATATGTCTTGGTGCAACACATAAGAATCTTCTATTAGTAGTATAAAGTTTTGGTTCAATCACATTCTTTATTTAGCCGATTGAGTTACTTAGAGATATATGTCGTATTCCAAGTTTTTCACACTTCTTCTAATCAATTCAAGTGTGCATAAATAGCACGTAACTTCAATTCATTTTGTATGCAAACAGTATACTACTTTCAAAACAATGAGTAGCACTTAATTATCAATTATTGGCGTCAACAATAACTCTCATATTCACTTTTAGTTGACCTTTGATTGCAATTTGCAAATAAATCCACGTGATGTATTTAATATGAATTGAATCTTAAAAGAAATACGGAGTATAATTTATAATGGAAAAAGCTAACAAGCACCCCCGGGATGTTAGGTAAGAGAACTAAAAATAAAAATATTAAAGTAAAATTTACATTCATTACACCGATCAACGCCTGATTTTGTCATGCATTCTGAACTTAATACTATTTTAAGTAATATATTAAGTAGTTATCTAACGCCCCGAGACGCTTGTTAGCAAGATACTTTTATAATACGATAAAAAGACAATTACAACATTCATATTATAGTTTCATCACATGACTAAATAAATAAATGTAGCATGGGATTTAACATAAATTATTTATGATAAGGGTTAATTGAAGTTTAAAAGGTTTTTTTTTTTTTCTTTTTTTTTTAATATAGGAGGAATTTTTGCTTGTATGGTTGTATATTCTTATGTTAATAGAAAGTTAACAACTTAATCGTATTTTTAGAATTAATGGTCAAACAAAGCAAGCTTGTAATGCCTATTATTTTTATATGTTAGGCCTTAGCTATAAATTAAAGTTTGTGACACTTTGAATTCCTCTAAATTGTACTGTATATTTTAGTAGTAGAAAGTAATTCGATTTGCCCTAATTGTTTGACACCTCACTTTCACCAAAATAGCACAAATTTAGTATCACTAACACACTAACTTTAATACCAACCTTATAATATTTGGGAAAGAATTACCAATTAATCAATAAGAATAAAATGCCTTTTCCAATGTGCTAGTCTAAGCTAGCCTGGCCTGCTAGCTACCAAAGAAAGAGACAGTAATATAAAAAAAATTGACCTAATTTGTCCTTTTACTCAAGATCATTTTAGAAGTGACTTGTTTGGCCTTATTTTTCAAGGTATTATCTTATCTATATTGTACGAGTGCAATATAAAAGGGCACCAATTGAATTTATGCATCTAAAGGGGACAGACCAATTGATAAATGGAAAGTGGCTGAGTTATTATCATTTTAAAGACCGAAAAGTCTTTAATAATACCTTTTACATGTAGAAAAATAATAATACCGCTACATATACAAGGACTATAAAAGATTATAGAATGCTTGTGAGTTTTAACTCAATTCCAAGATTGAATTATTGTTGGAATTTTACACAATTAAATTGTTATCGTTTAACCTTCACCAAACAACTTTGTCAAATCGGAATTCAATCTCCTTATTCAATGTTGCTCACACCAAATTCAAGTCCAGTTTCACATTTTATTTCTGAAAAAATTGTCAAAAACAATACAAACTCTGAGCAGTCCGCCAAAAACAAGTCAATCTTTTGATTATTTCTAAATAATACAAACTTTGGGGAGTATCCGCTTTAAACAAGTTATGACCGGTTAATAACCTAATTAACAGGTTATGTGGGACGCGTATCATTATCTTATTGCTTTAACCATTTAATTTGTTTTTTTTTAATTTTTAAAGATTATTATTATTTTATTTTTTAAAAAAAAAAACTCCACCCATCTCCTCCACCAGCCACCAGCACCACCAGCACAGCCTCCCTCCCAGCCCCCCGGCGTCGGCCGCGCCCAGATCCCTTTTCCCCGGCGCCGACAATGACCCCCCTCCCCCGCTCGTCATCCCCCTTCCCTCTTCCCCGGTAACCAGCGAACCCCCTTTCCCAAAACCCTCTCTCCCCCACAAAACCACAAAAAACCCATCTCCCACCCTCGAAATATCCTAATCGGACCTCCCCAGCCACCGCTAGGGGTTCGAATAGGGTTTTTCGGGGGTGGGGGATGGGTTTTTGGTGGTTTTACGGGGGAGGGAGGGTTTTTGTTGGTTGCCAGGGAGGAAGGAAGGGGTACGGTGACGCGTAGGGGAGATGGTCGGCGTCGGCTCTAGGAAGGGGATCTGAAAGCGGCCGACGCCGGGGGACTGGGAGGGTTTGGGGGCTCCGGTGGTGGGTGGCTGGTGGAGGAATCAGGAGATGCTTTTTTTTTTTAAAGAAAATTTTAAAAAATATTTTAATTGTTAATTTTTTTTTTTTGAAAAGTTTTAATCGTTAATCAACCATAATTAAAGTTGTTATTAAGAGTTAATTACATTGTTAAACAAATTTATTAATTAAAATAATAATTTAACCGGTCATTCAGGTTGTAGGTAAAATAACTTGTTTAAAGCGGATACTCACCAAAGGTTGTATTTTTCAGAAATAATCAAAAGTTTGACTTATTTTTGGCAGACCGCTCAAAGTTTGTATTATTTTTGACAATTTTTCCTTTATTTTTTCTAATTTCATAAAACATATGAATACTCTCATTTTATTCTAAACCATCTTGATTACTAGGAAATAGTAGGCCCTAAACAAAAAAATCATAAACCCCATCTTCAATAAAAAAAAACTTTAGCTTTTTTTCTAAGAAATTCCATCATTTGAGTTTAAGAGCACAAATTTAAAAGAAGTTGTGGAAGTGTATAACCCTATACACTCGGCCCTTGGAGAAATGGAGACTATTATAATAATGACGACAAATTTTGCTTCTAAGACAATGAACTTAATACAACACAACTATTTAGCAAATATTGAGGTCTAATCTATATCATATTCTCTAATTTTTCTCTACATTGTTATTATGATTAGTTTGAACAGTTATTATCCCTTAATCAGAAAGGGAATGATCAAAGAATCGGACAAGTGGAGTAATAAATAGTTGACAGATTAAAGGATGGCCCTCATCAATTATTAAAAGGAGGTCCTCTTATGTACGTTTTTTTTGGTGCCACCAAAAAAATAAACATGCATTATTTATGCCTTTTTTTTTATTATTATTATTATTATTTTTCAATTTTCTCCATGCATGGTAATGTCATGTTTGCATGCATGGCTCCCACTTATCTACTCGTTGTGGACCAAAAAAATTAGGGTTTAGTATCAATGGATAATTACATCGAGCTCATAAATGAAAAAGTTCCACATGCATCCATTATGATGTTTGAGATATTATCAACCTATGAAATTTAAGAGGATGCATCCTCATTTACATGTTGTAATGATCTTTAATAATAATTTAATTGTAAGCAATATAATATTAATTTAATTTAGATTTTGGACTTGTTTTAATTATGTACCTTTCACGAGTTCATCTTGTTGATGACATTATTATATTTTCATTAAGTATAAATCATTAGAGAGAGTCAAAATGACATATATGAACAGCAAAAAAGTCAAATAAATGAAAAAAAAAAAAGAGTATAAAAAATATTATAAGTTAATGTGCTACTTTAGAGCAATAAATCGATAATTTACTACGGAAGATCAATAACAATATGCAAAAGTTCTTACAAGTCTCATTCTTGTATGGTCCTGGTTAGGTGAAGTTTTTTAAAATATTGACAATATTCATATTCTCATAGACTAATTTCACATCTTGATTAGATGGTAGAGATTTGACAATTAAGGATCTAAGTAAAGTTTTTCAACATTTACTTGCTTTGTTTTATATTTTAGTTTTGAGCTTATATTTGTCAATACACAATTTACTAAATTTATATCTTATCCATCACTAATAAAATAAAAATTCAAGTGCAGATAAATAAATTGAATATATCTCATCGACAAATAAAAAAAAAAAAAAAAAAAATTACTTTCAAGATTTGTTTAGTTACTTTAAAAAATTAAATAAAAGCCAGAAAAGGCTTTTTGCTTGGCTGATGTTCATCATTAATCAATGTCTCAATGAGGTAGACTAAGAAATTGAATTTCATTTTTCCCTTGTTTTATTCCTAACTCCAACTCCAACTCCATACAACTAACGTTCCCCTTATTGGTTTTCCACTTTATTTTTCTGTAAAGTTGTTGATATTCAACTAACATAAACTGTAAGTCTTTCTAAAATCAAATTACACGTCCCTATTTTTGGTTTTCAAAGTCAGATTTATGTTAAAGAGTGTATTTGAATTTTTATGACATATTCCTATCAATATACCTTAACAAGTTTCACGGTTGAGATTTCAACACTAAAGATACTAACCTGCACTCAATCATCTCGAGCTTTTCTCTGCACAAGCACACGCACTGCATACCCATACTCTTTCTTCTACGAGTAGTTTGCTAACCGCATGGCTTTGTGGTCCAGTACACCACTTTTCCGCTTTCCTTAATACTAGCTATATGTTGCAAGTAAAAAAAAAACAATACGAAGTACATTGTATAAAACTGCATAGTTTATATTGACCTGAGCTTCAAGTGCTAAGGAGCTGTTTGGCCTAGTTTCTGAAACTGTTTCTCAATCAAAGAAACAGAAACTGGGCCAAACAAGGAAAATTTAAGAAGTAGAAACACTTTTATAAGAAGCCCAAAATAGCTTCTAGGTTGGGTAAAATGAGAAGCACCAAATTGGAGCTTCTCTTAGCTGTTTCTCGGGGAGCCATTTCTCCCATTTAATGAAATTTTCATTTGGACAAAAACACCCCCAACATTTTACAAAAAAGACCTCCAATATCCATCTAAAAAGAAAAAAAAAACCATTCATCTACTTTCTCATGAACATGTCTGAGCTCTCTCTCTCAAGATACCCAACCCCACCGGCGATACGCAATCTGGTCCTCGGAGACCACCGGCGCCAGTTTTCCGTCCACCCAACCCAACTCATCGGCAATGCTTCATCTGACGTCATCATCACCGCCACCATCGTCACTCTTCGTCGTTGCATCCTCCACCATGGTTTGTGTTTCCCCCTCTTCTCCTTTAAATCTTTTCTTTGTCTGGCTCTTCTCCATAGATCCAGTCCAAGTAACATCTCTATGTCTCTCTAAAGATTCAATTTGATTTGCATATGTTTGAAATTGTAGGGTTCCTTTGTTGAATTCAATTGTGCTATTTATAGATGATTAATTTAAATATTGATTGTTCATCATCATTATTAGATTTGATGTTGAGTTTGATATAATTATTAAGCTTTATTTGTGCTGACCTTGATCTAAGTGTTGTTAGTTATTGTTGTTGGAAAACTATATAGGATGGCATTCTTTGTAAATAGGTTGAAGTTGTGTGGGGACAAGGTGCCAGCTGGTAGGAAAAAATAACAGAGCAAAGATAGAGAAAATGGGGAAACCAAAATCTAAGCGGAAACCTAAATTTTGTCTGACCTGTAAGCCTTGTCGTCGCTCTTGCTCAATCTAGGGTTTAAGAAAACCCTCTGAAATCAAAGGTACCCAGAATCTCTCATCAATGGATTATGAGAAGAAGAATCTCGAAGATACAGTAGTACCCTCTTCCGTTTTGACTTATCTTGATCCACTTTACTGGTTTGTTCTCTCTCCCCTGTTTCTAATTTTAATTTCACTCTAAAAAAAATTGCTCAAATTTATTGCATCTAATTTAATTTCTAAAATTTTCTTTTAGGAACGATAGATTTGCTAAGGAAGAACATTATGAATGGCTCAAATATTATTCCCATTTTCGTCACCTAATTTTGGAGAATATTCAACCTAATTCCTCTGTATTTTCTCTGTTTTTTTTTTTTTGGTAGAATGTTAATACTGAAGTATTTTTTTATTTATTTTTGTTAATTTTCTGGGCTTCATATGAATTTGATAAGTTTCATTTGTTCAATTTTTAGGTTTTGGAATTGGGTTGTGGAAATTCCCAATTAAGTGATGAAATGTATAAAAATGGGATTAAGAATATCACTTGCACTGATTTATCCCCAATTGTTGTTGAGAAAGTGCAGAAAAGATTGTTGTTGAAGGAATTCAAAGGTTCGTGCATTTCTTTGTGGGATATTCTTCCTTAAATGTTACAATCATCTTGCTTGCTGTTGTGAATTCTATGCCATTGTTGTCATTTTGTTAACACATTGTTGTTGAAAGCTTGATTCTTTAAGTTTGTCCCAGATTCGGATTTTGGAATTGGATTGAATTTATAGCCTATTGTCATTGATTATCTTGTATGATGCTATTGATTTTTGGTGTGAACAAATATATAGCCTTCCACGGACATGCTCGGATATTTTTAAGGTGTACATCATTTTGTGCTTATTCAATGTGTTGTTGTTGCTAATTGTTGCCCTTTCATTAAAATTCAATGTGAATTTAGAGAAGATTCGAGGTTTAATCACTTGTGGAAAGTATGATTGTCAAGCTGTTTGTCTTGACTGATTTTGAATGTATTTTGGTTTAGCAGCACTCATTGTTGCACTTTCTTGCCCCCTTTATCTTAACTTTGGATGATTTGTGCTGCCTTAAATGTCAGAAATAAAGGCCATGGTTGCGAACATGCTAGACTTGCCATTCGCAGATGATTCTTTTGATGTTGTTATTGAGAAAGGAACAATGGTGAGAACAATATTAATAGCTTAGCCTTAAATATTTCTTTCGTAAGTGCAAATTGGCTTTTAATTTGCCAAGTTTGGATATACTTGTCATTCAAGGATGTATTGTTCGTGGACAGTGGTGATTCGTGGAACCCAAAAGCTGAAACCATTAGCAAGGTCATGGCAATGCCCCAAGGAATCCACCGAGTATTGAAGCCAAATGGTATCTACATATCAATTTCGTTTGGGCAGGTAATACATTCAAACTTTGGTTCACTGAATCATATAAGCTCTAGCATGGGTTTTTCTCCTCTTTATTTCTTAACTTTCTGTTGCAGCCACACTTTAGGCGTCCATTATTTGAAGCTCCTGATTTTACATGGTCAATGAAGTGGAGCACTTTTGGTGATGGATTCCATTATTTCTTCTACACTCTAAAGAAGGTTAGGTTAATTTCTTATGTTTTATGAACTAGGTAGGGTTTTAAGTGTGAGAACATAACCAACATTCATTTACCGAAAGGAAATTGTTACATATTTCTATAATCCGCATTTTGAGTCTATTCTAATTTATAACACTTCAAGAACCAATTTTTTATAGACTAAGGTTATCTTGTACAAGCTCTTGGAATCTATCACCTGTTATGTTACTCAGATTTATGGATACAGTGCCAAGTGTACAACACAACCATCATGAAAACATTGCATATATTTTGTCCAAAATGAACTTACTCATGTTTGATGTTGAGTTTCTGATTTGAGCACTTGAGGTGAAATGGAGAATCAAAGTGAGATTGAACTTATAGAACACTTGTAACTAGAATATGAGGAGAATAGTAGACAAGAGGACTTGATTTGTATGTCATAGAAACCTGTATAGAGTGTATACCACTTTATCGGTGCATGTCATTCATATTATTGGATGTATGCTACTATGCTTCACTTAAACTTGCAATAATTAGGCCAAATGATGCTATCTTTTCTTTCCAATATGCAATTTGAATCCCATGAGACTGCATCCTTTCGAAAATGATTCTTAAAAATTTGATCATGCATAATTATGTTCAGCTCTGTTATTATGCTAAATTTCTTAGTGCAAGTGAATTAAGTTTTAAGTTTCTATGCTGCAAACCACAGGGCACAAGATCATTGAATAGTTATCAACCTTGTGAAAGGCTAAACCTTCCACCAATCTGCTTGTATCAAGATGAATTGGAAGGTGAAGATTTCTTATTCAGGACCAACATTGATGAATCGGAGGACAACTAAAAAGGTGAAGTGGTCAAGAAGCAGTGTCATTGTAACAGGGTTTTTTGCATTCTTATTCTCTTGTTAACCTTTCTAATGGTGATCATGAATTATGTTTTGCATATCAAATCATTAGTCCTTATTTTCTCAAATGATTGGGCAGATCTTATTGGCCAGGTTTGGTAATTAGAGTTTTGACAAAAAAATAAGCTTATTTGACCAAATTAGAGGTTTGGTTGCATAAATCATTTAATTTGGTTGTTTGGTTAAAGAGCTTTTTAAATAAGCTGATAGAGGCACAAATAATTTGTGAAAAGCTAAAAAATAGAGCTTTTTAGATTAGCTTATTGAGTAATGGATGTCAAATGACAATTTCATCCTAAAAGTTACTCTAATTTACATTTTTGCCCTCCCAATTCTTACCTTAGTGAAGTAAAAATGAATTGCTAATGTCCTATATTGTCATTTCATGTGTTCAACTAACAAACAACTACAACTGAGAATCAAATTTTACCAAATAACTCTACATAATAAGCTCTTACCAGTCAGCTAGTCAAAATAGCTAATGCAATCAACTCTTACCAATTAACTAATCGTTAATTACTAAACAGGGCCATTATCTAATTGTGTGATCCATATTGCATTAGGAATTGTCTTCTGAGACGATGTCCTAACGTTTTCTCTTTATCATACCTTATTACTAGTAAAAATAATAAAAAATTGTGTGATCCTTACGATTGGAATTGGACATACCAAATTGGCTAAGCCTAATCAAGCCTATTTCAAAAAATACTTTGTAAAAATCAAAATGAGACACTTAAAAATAAAACAGGAGGAAGTATGTCATATAGCATTGTCAAATTTCAAACCGAAAGCGTTTAACTGCCCGAAACCAATCGACCTAAATGAGAACCGAACCGATTAAAAATCGATTTTTTAAAACCGAAAATCGATTCGAACTGTATTTTAGTAAACCAGAAACCGAACCGATCCGAATAATGTTAAGAACCGAACCCGTTAAGGAACCGAAACAGTTCTCAACCGAACTCAATGAAAACCGAACCGAAAAAGAATCAAACCGTTTCTAACTCGAAACCGTTCCAATCCGAAACCGTTTGAACCGCGATAAAAACTGTTTACATCGAACCGTTAACAAACCGCAACCCGTTTGCACTGAACTGTGTACAAAACGAATCATTTATGAATCGAACCGTGTATGAATCAAACCGTTTACAAACCGCTTGCTATAAAGGAAGATTAAAATCACGTTAAAATGAATTTTATATGAAATCTAATTATGCACACATGTTTACTACAGATACGAAGTACATTATTGTTTTCACCGACTTTTTTTAGTAATTATGGATTAAGCAAAAATAATCTTTGTCTTCTCATTAAACATCATCAAAGTGTTACATATATATTGTGCTCAAAATTATATTAGACCAAAGCTGGCCAAATCAAATTCTTATGATGTACTCCTATTATTGTAATTCTCAAAAAATTTAGAATAGATGATTGCATCCTTTGATCTTTCAAAAACAATTAAAGTCAATACAAAAATAATAATAAAGAATATGATTAATTAATTCATTAATTGAAAAAGAACTCGGAAAATTCTAGCTTGAAACCAACCGACCCAAATGAGAAACGAACTGATTAAAAACCGATTTTTTGAAATCGAAATCTGACTTGAACCATAATTTAGTAAACTCGAAATCGAACCGATCCGAATAATGTTAAACCGTATAAGAACCGAACCCGAACTGAATTGAAAAAACCAAACCGAAAAAAGAATTGAACCGTTTCTAACCCAAAGCTGTTTGAACCGGGATAAAAACCGTCCACACCGAATTGTTAAGAAACCGCAACCCGTCTACAAAAAAAAATGGAAAAGAGAAAGCTACAAGAGCAAAAAACCATGCAAAGAAGGCAGCTGCTGCAAAAAACACCTTTATGTCACTGTCGACCAATGAATATATCCGTTTTGCCAGGGGAATTCAATTGAGGGATCTTGATGATTCAATAGCATATTTTACTTCTCTAGGTACAGGACCACCTTCTGATGTGGCAACTAATTTAAGTTGCATGACTCCTATGTTGTGATTGCAGAAAACATTTGTCAAATCTGATGTTTATTTTGTACCACCTGGAACAAAGTTTGGGAGAATATGTACCATTGGGGTTGTGATTTTCAGTAGTACAATTTAGAACCCGAATATAGCCCATTAGGAAATGAAGTGGTACAACTTATGACTTTATTTCAATTCAAAGTTATAGTTTTCTAAACCCAAAATTATTCACATAAATTCAGATTTTAATGATCTTATTATAACCATTATTTTCTCATAATATTACTGAAACTAATTAGCATTCAATATTATGTCTTTTGTTAATTGTGCATTCCCAAAAATAAATATAAAAAAAAACAAATGATGGCGTTACATGGATAAGGAATTGTCCAAGTTGTATTGAATGTTGTGCATCGAGCAGTGGTATAAAAGTGTATCAAAAAACAGCAGTGGTACAAAAGTGTATCATAAACCTAACCAGAAGGGTACCACTGGTTAGGCTTAAGGTACCACTACTTGAAAAGATTACCAATGAGAAATGGGATGATGTGTAACCTTGTGTTTAACTTTTTGAAAATATAACCAAATTGGATTTTTAACCATATGTTACTATTAACTTATTGACGGTGTGTTGTGTATTTTATTATAACTTAGTCCCTGCTGTTTCGGGGTTTTTTGATGTGTCCTGCGGGAGAGTTACGATTCCAAGAATGCCCTTCGACGCCTATGCCTGCAAAATCACTAAGACTCCTGGGGGTAGGAGCTCCGCCTCCGACGATCAAGTTAGTAAAGATACGGGAGGTAGAATGCACGTAATGTGGAAGTTACTTCTCGCGTAATGGGAGAATTCCGCAATTAATATTGCTCGGGGTAAGTGTGTTTCTTTTGAGGAGTATTCAATGTAATCAACAAATGTTTCCTGCCCATTAATGAGGGTCCTTCCACTATTTATAGTGGGGAAGGGATGGTTCCCCTTTTAGGGTTTAGAGGACACGTGTCAGCAGAGGATTAGAGCCCTGCTGACCAACGGCTGGATGCCACGTGTCACTAGGCCATTGGGCCACGTGTTTAGGGTATTTTTACCCCAAACATTTGCCCCTCACTGGTGCTGACGTGGCAGGGTGCCACGTGGCGCCGGTGAAAGGTTTTTTTTTTAGATTCCTTTTGAAGGATGGAAAAGCAGAAGGCGAAGAGTCACGACTTTTCACCTTCTGGGACAAATTCTATAAATAGGAGAAGATGTCCCCCGAGCTCTCATTTACAAACTTTGCCAAATTTCTGAAGATTTGAGAGCAGCCGGCAATTTGAGAGTTGAGAGCATTCGGAGTTGAGATTCGTTGAGAGCAACCGGTCTGCAGACCGTGTGGGTCGTTGCAAGCTAGCCAAAAATTTTCGAGAGGGTAATCAGAGAAACCCAGCCGGATTTTGAACCGCCTGCGTCTTCGCAAGCATCCCAGAGAATTTCCAGATTTTCTTCTAGGTACCGTCTCTATTCTTTCTAGCTTTTTCATGTATTTCCGTTTGAGTCTTTTACTCGCATTTTTGTTCATTGGTCCCATAAGTAGATGGACCCCTTATACCCATACCCGGAACCTAGCTGTGAACTCAGCCGGTTTATTAGTACGGCTGAGTCTAGAACTGGGTCTGCCGCCTCTGTTCTTTGGGACAACCCTTTTTCAACATCCATATCGACCGACTCTGTGTCTGTGCAGGACACAATGGCCAGAATCCGGTCTACTGCCAGAGATCCCAACTACAGAAGTGGGAGCTCAGATGAGCAGCCGCCTGAGGTCCCAGCTTCAGGCGGTGAAATAGAGCATGGAGAGGTAGAGCAGAGAGGCTCACCCGGGGGCGCTCCTAGCACCCCGGGTGATAGCATTTTAAACGAAGAGAGTGCTCCCCTCCAGGAGACCAGAGAGCAGGTAGGCTCTGATATGGAGGTCTCCAACTCCCCAGCCGGCTCTGATGCCAGTCACGTTCAAAGTAGCAGTAGCAGCTACTTAACCGAATCTGAGGATAGCGAGGAGGCGGAGAGGCCTTCTTGGGATAATAGGAACGATCCTCTCATGATCGCCGTCTCCTCCAAGGACCGCGAGCTCATGCGGGCTGCGCTGCCAGATTTTATCAAACGGCGGCCGCTGGGGGGTGACTATACAATAAAGGTCCCGGCTGCTCTGGGAACAATATGGTGGGAGGATGGACAACCGAACGCGAACGCTTGGTTCGGGTGCTACGAGGCGGCCTTCGTGGCCGGAGTCCGCTTCCCTCTCCACGACACAATAAGAGCCATACTTAGGGGGTATGGCCTAGGTCTCTGGCAATTAACCCCCAACTCATGGGTAAATATTTTAGGGTATATCGCCGCCTGCGAGATGCAGGGCCTCAACCCCGGCTGGGAGGCGTTTGCCCACATGCATTACTTGAGTAGGAGCCCAGGCGGCTGGAGAGCCTGGTATACCTTGACCACCCAGCCCAAATACCTTATGACCTTGGACAAGCCATCCAAATGGTCGGACTGGAAGCACCGGTTCTACTTGGTTAAGGCCCCAACTACGGCAGAGAACAGAGAATTCCGGATCTACAACCGAAAACCAGAATTCTTGGGGACCAAGTGCTGCCTGCCCCCTGTCCCGGAGGATGATAGAGAGACCATCCTTGACTCCGGGTTTTTTGAGTTAGTTCCTGACACCCTCTCATCCGGAGAGATAGTAAGGGTACCTAGAAACTGGGTGCCCAAACATGAATTTTTTAGGGACGAATGCTTCTTGTCCGCTTGTGGTCTAAGCAGCATGTTTGAAAAACGTATGTATTCGGAACTCAGCCGGTTTCTTTCGAACCGGATGCTTTTATTTCCTTGCTTATTTATTATTCTAACCGTGTGCCTTCCTCTGCAGAAGAAGCCAAGAGAATGCTGCCCACCGAGAAGACACCGGCTAGGTCGACTACCGACATCCGGAAAGCCAATCTCGAGAAAAAACTTGCTGCCCAGGCGGCGAAGAAGGTATAACCGTCTGATCCTTCTCGTTTATGTCAATCCTTTATCCCATAACTTATATTTTTCTCGTTTACAGGACGGGAAGCAGATGCCCCGGTCCCTTCAAAAACAGGTCAGGCCTCCGCCGACCCAACAAGAGTCT